AGGTCATAGTGAGACGGGGTTCGATTCCCCCCCAGTGCATAGAACTTGAGCGTACATTTTTTTTTTGCAGTGTGCACCGCCAATAGCAACCCACCTAGCGGGCCTGCGTAGTATTAGGATGCACACACCGGTTGTGTATGGAACACGCACCGTGTCGACATCTGTGGTACACCACTAGTTACTGTCTATCTTTCGGTGAGACGGGGTTCGATTCCTCATCGGTGCATGTCAACTTGCATGCGGATTTTTTCCGTCCAGGGACAGGGACAAATGCACCTAATAGTGCCAGCACTTAATCGGTAGCGAGCACCGGTTGTGTATGAGGCACTCACCGTCGCCGTTGACAGCCATGAGGTTAGGTGAGACGGGGTTCGGTTCCCCACCCGTGCATTGGGTAGTGTTTATCATGTCTTTTCCCCCGGTGTCAGGACTACATAACCGCATCTAGAGGGCCTAAGACTCCGATGTAGCCTTTTTTCAGGGGGACCGCCAATAACAACACACCTAGCGGGCCCGCGTTGCGTGGGATACACACATTGGTTGTATATGGAACACGCGCGGGGTTTGTGATGAATGGCACTCGATGTCTCGGTGAGGCAGGGCAGCGGTGCGTAAGGCTGGAATATGGAATGTTTGTTTTTCTTCAGAAAATGAGTGGGAGGAAGTGCACTGATCTATGTAGTGCGAACACGCATAATGCTCGTGATTCATACTCCAAATTACGGTGAGAAAGGGTTCGATTCCCCACCGGTGCATAAAGCCACACCCTGTCCTTTCGTTCTTGTTTCCAGGACCAAAAGGCACCAACCGGGCGCGCGTTGAATGGAATGTACGCACCAGTTGTGTATGGAACACCCCCGGCTTACGTATTGTTATACGATTAAATAAATCTCGGCGGGGTTCGATTGCCTTTTCTTTTTTTTTTCTTGCCCAGAAAACGAGAGCAAACGCACCTAGCGTACCTGCGTAGTCAAGCACCGGTTGTGTATGGAACACGAGCCGATTCTGTGAATTCTTGGTTAATGAATCTAAATTACGGCGAGACAAGGTTCGATTCCCCATGGGTGCATGTCTGTTCTCCATAGTTTTGTTCCAAAAACGAGGTAATACACCTGAATAGCGGGCCTGCGCTTAATAGTTAGCGAGCATTGGATGTGTATGGAACAGCTCGACTAGACAAATCTCGGCGAGAAGGGGTTCGATTCCCCACCAGTGCATGCTGGGGTTCGTTCGCCATATCTTTTGTTCCAAAACGGGGGAATGCACCTAGGCAGCGTGCGCTGAATGTCAAGGGTACGAGCACCGGCTGTGTAAGGAACACGCACCATCGACATTAGCGGCCGTATTCCAAGGTTATGGTGAGACGGGGTTCAATTCCCGACCGGTGCATGGGCCCTGTATCCGTATTTTTTCTTCCACACAAAGGGAACGCACCTAGTTGTTCTGCGCCGAATACGATGGGCACAAGCACCGGTTGTGCATGGAACAATGGAACACGGGCCGATCCTGTGAACTCTTGGTGTATCGATCTAAATTACGGCGAGACGGGGTTCGATTCCCCACCGGTGCATGCAGTATATCTCTCTAGCATTTTTTTCTTGCGATAGCGATCCACACGTCCGAAGCGTGTGCATTAGACGCGCCGTGTCTCTCGTCAAATATTTCAGCGAGATGAGGCCGGTGCATCGCCCACTTTTCTTCGCGGAGGGCGCGCTACAAACCAATATTGACAATCAACCATTTAGCCTCTCGATCGAGCGCGTACCTTGAAAATGCATTAATTACAATTGCGATTTGGCTTGGAAGATCGCCGTCCGCACTCAGGCCCGCATTCAGAAGTGATTTGCGGTTATCTCGCACCCCAGGCCCGCATCCCCGAGCGCAAATCCAATACCCATTTGATCCTCCGTTCGTTCGAATGATATTGACGAATTCGCAACCTCGCGTGTGGGGATTTTGTGGGTCGGTGCGACTAGGCTAGTAGGGTGGAGTGTGGGGTACCGGTGCTCAGGGAGCGGTAGCAACGGGAATTTGAAACGGCGCCGAGGCTCGGGGTAGAGCAGTGGGGTGGGGAATCTCAACTTCGCGAGTGGCCAGACGGTAATGTTGCTGTTGCACCGTCTGGCAGACGGTGCAGCGGGAAAAGCCCAAAGACTGAGAAAAAAACGCATAGCTCGCCAAGGGCTTCTCCGCGTAACAGTCACTTTGCTGTTGGAGAATTGAGAAGAGGGACAGGTGACCCGATCTCGTGACAGTGTCGGGCGCGGTGTGACGGCGTGATGCCCGGGGCTCGGACCGAGCCAACGATAAATAGCAGCGCTCGTCGGGTGTGCGGCCTGCAGTGATCATGCCCGCCGCCGACACTCCCCTCCACTTCGACCCCGCCCACCACCTCAGCCAGAAAGATGCTGCCGCCAAGGAGATGACACGTAACGCCAAGGTGCGGCGTTTTTTTCTGTTTTTCTTGGGGAGTCTCCTGACATATGAATATTTTTTGGCGCGCAGGCGGCGACGGACAAGGAGCACCAGATGTCGCTGCTGCAGGGCCTGCGGCTGTACCCCAAGGCGGTCGCGTGGAGCATCCTCATCTCGACGTGCATCTGCATGGAGGGCTACGACGTCTGTCTACTCAGCAACTTTTGTGCGTGTGCTCTATTCGCCCTCCCCACTGCATATACTCACCCCACGCCACACTGCGCAGACGCGTTCCCCCAGTTCAACCGGAAGTACGGCGAGCAGCTCGCGGACGGGTCGTACCAAGTCCCCGCGCGGTGGCAGGCGGGCCTCAGCAATGTCCGTCCTTCCTTCCCTTTCTCCACCCATGTGTGCCAGTCAACTGACGCGCGCTCGCGTCAGGGCGCCAACGTCGGCGAGATCCTCGGGCTGTTCCTCAACGGATGGGTGTCCGAGCGGTACGGCTACCGCATGACCGTCATGGCGTGCCTCGTCTGCATCATTGGCTTCACCGCCATCTTCTTCACCGCGCAGAACGTCGTCGACCTCCAGGTCGCCGAGATCCTCTGCGGTATCCCGTGGGGCGTCTTCCAGACCCGTGCGTCTCCCCTTCTCTACCATTTTTTTTTCAGTCGCTAACTAACACCCGCACGCAGTGACGATCACCTACGCATCCGAAGTCTGCCCCGTCGCCCTCCGCGGGTACCTCACGACCTACGTCAACTTCTGCTGGGGCCTCGGCCAAGTCATCGGCATCGGCGTCATCAAGAGCATGCTGGGCCGCACCGACCAGTGGGCGTACCGTATCCCGTACGCCCTGCAGTGGATGTGGCCCGTGCCGCTCCTCATCGGTGTGGCGCTCGCGCCCGAGTCGCCGTGGTGGCTCGTGCGCAAGGGCCGGCTCCCCGAGGCGAAGCGCGCGTTATTGAGGCTGACGAGCCTCGATCGGGAGACGGGGTTCGACGCGGACGAGACGCTCGCGATGATGCAGCACACGACGGCGCTCGAGGAGAAGCTCACGCAGGGCGCGACGTATTGGGACTGTTTCAAGGGCACGGACCTACGGCGCACGGAGGTGCGCGCCCGTCTCTCTTTCTTTTTCGCCTCAAGCTCTGACGCCCCGCCCCGCAGATCGTGTGCATGGTCTGGGCGATGCAAAACCTCGCGGGCAACTCCTTCACCGGCTACTCGACCTACTTCCTCGAGCAAGCCGGGCTCGCCACGGCCAAGTCGTACGACTTCGCGCTCGGGCAGTACGGCATCAACATGGCGGGCGTCTTCGGCGCGTGGTTCCTCATGTCGCGCGGCATCGGGCGGCGCGCGCTCTACCTCTACGGCCTCATGGGCCTCTGCGCCATCCTGCTGTGCCTGGGGTTCCTGGGGCTGGCGCCGGAAAGCCATCGCGACCAGGCGGCGCTGGCGACGGGGTGCCTGATGCTGGTGTGGGCGGTGATTTATCAGTGCACGGTGGGGACGGTGTGTTATTCGCTTGTGGGCGAGATTAGCACGCGGAGGCTGTTGATTAAGAGTGTGGTGCTGGGCCGGAATCTTTAGTGCGTCTCCCCCCCCCCTCTTTCCTCCTTCGCCGCCAAGATCTTCGTACTGACGCGCTCCTAGCAACGTGGTGGGCATCGTGTGCAGCGTGCTCACGCCGTACATGCTCAACCCGGGCTCGTGGGACTGGGGGAACTACGCGGGCTTCTTCTGGGGCGGGATATGCTTCCTGTGTGTGATATACACGTATTTCCGCCTACCGGAGGTGAGTCGCGGTTGCGTTTTTTGTTGTCTTCCCCTTCATTTGCCCTCGCGCCTGCCCCTTTCCTTCCCTTGTCCTTACCCTTGCCCCCTGGCGTCCCTCCACCCGTGAGTCGCGTACACCGCCCCGTCATCCCTCCCCCCCTTCCTCTCCCCATCCCGCCCCCGATTTCTTCCCCCCCTTCCTTTGCTTTCTCCCCTCCCTTCTACTTAAACTGACGCCGCCCCACCCCCCAGCCCCAAGGCCGCTCCTTCGCGGAACTCGACCTCCTCTTCGAGCAGGGCGTCTCCGCGCGCAAGTTCGCCAGCACGCGCGTCGAGGTGTTCGACGACGTCGACTCCAAGGGCGCGGACGAGAAGGACGGGAGCGACGCGGGCAGCGGTGGGGAGAAGTTCGAGGCGCGGCATGTGGAGTGAGTCTGCTGCTGCTGTGGTGTATGTCGTGTGGTGCGGCGGTGGGGAGTGAGGGGGGAGGAAGGAAGGAAGGAAGAGGGAAGGGAGGAGGAGACAAAAGTGTAGAAAATCACGACAAGGGAAGGCGAGTGTACTTCATATATCCGTATCATATCTACGACTGTTTTACTACGTACTTACCGACTTACTGTGACGCAATTGATGTTAACGTTCACGTTCGTGTTTATGTTCATGAAAAGTGAATTGTGAGTGTTGGGATTAGTTTAAATTCTGAGGGTTGGTGCGCACTGGCGGACGGGAATGAAATTCTAAAAATTGAAGTGCAAGCCTCGCAGCAACACGAACTGAACGAAAAAAGGGATTGAGAGTTCCATTTATGCACTAGCCGGGAGTCGAACCCAGAACTCATGGAAAATACATTTGTTATTCCGGACATATTCGATGCGTGTACCACTACACCACTGATGCATATACAACAGTAAACGAAAGAGTGCTGGAGACTAGCTGATTGTAAGAATAGAGTGTATGCAACGTTGAACTCAAGTTGAACTTGAACTTTGGGCAGTGAACCAACACGTTTTGAGGATGGATGTGTATCATTTTGGATTGCTATCTTGTCTGGGTGTGAGGCGGGAGCCGTCAACTGGGCGCCCGTCGCAATTGGCTCCAAGATTCTCCGCTAGTTGAACCACATCGGACTAAGGCTCCAACCATTTAGTTTTCGTTTGAAGAAACGGGCAAACTAAACGGAAACGGTTAGTAAACGTTTTAAAACCGTTTAAAACTGTTTATAAATGGTAATTTCGGCTGGCAATTTTGCGGAGACATTCCAGGCCTGTAGACTTGAAATTGTTATCCACAACAGACTTCAACAGACAGAGAGGCCCTCAGAGAGATCCCTATGCTCCACTCGGAGAAGAACAGGAGCACAATAGGGGCGGCGGGACGAGGGCGGGAAGTTGGCGGGTGGCGAGGTGGAGATGGCCACGCGCCATCACTCACGTGAATAATTACCAGATTGGGAACTATCGCTTGGATCGCAACCAAATCTCCTCAGTGAGTACCTCATTTATGGGCCTTGGGTGCATTTCATGAACTATATTCATATTGTGTCTGGGCCTGAACACTTGATATATAATTGATAGCACAGTGGGTGAGTTTGGACAACCATTTGAACCGTTTACAAAGGGTTTGCTTACCGTTTGCGAGCAAACTAAATGGAAATAAAAACGGTTTTTACCATTTGAAAACGTTTATAAACGGAAATGGTTGGAGCCTTACCACATCCCGCTTGGAGACGGTTCACCTCAAATGCACGAAGGATATTAATATTGGACCGAACCAATGACCGTTTGTATGTTGCTCGTAAAAGCTGAGGCGCAATGTTTTCAAATGGTATTACATTGTGTACATACTCAGGCTGCGATTTCGAATTCTTGACCAGACCATAAATTAAATATGGTCTACGATCTTGCTTTCGTCGATGTAGAACCTCTTGATGGTAGCCTTCCTTGCACCCTCCATATCAAGCTTGTCGATTTTGTCTTGCAGCCCCACCCTTCCCCTTTGAAGCTCCTTCGCCACGTCGGCCCACTCCATTGTCTTACCGCCCACCTGAACCGCAACCAGTTTCCCGCCAGACTTCCGAATCCGTCCGTCCACAATGACCGTGTCGATATCCCGCACGGACGCATGTAGCACCACCGCCGCCACGGGATCGTGCGTCCCCGCACACACCATCGCCGGGCTCTCCCCGTCAAAAATAACCAGATCCGCGAGCTTCCCAACCGCAATACTCCCGACCTCGGCGCCCATGCCCACCGCACGCGCGCCCATGATCGTGCCGAGATTGAACGCCGCCTCCGCCGTCACGTTCACGGCACGCGGAACCTTGCCTTCGCGGACGAACGCCTCGTTGTGCGTGCCGCGCGCGCTCTGGAGCGCGAGGTGCATCTGCGCGAGGACGCCGCCGCCCGCGGATGAGTGGCAGTCGACGCCGAGCGAGGCGTGCGGTTGCAGGTCGGCGCGGAAGCACACGGGGGCGCCGAGCGCCATCTGCAGCTCCGTGTCGGGCGTGGAGGAGACGTGAGCGTGTGCAACGGCGATCTGTGCGGCGTCCTCGGATGTGGCGCCCGTGGCGTGTGAGAGCAGGATGTCGGGTGCAAGGAGGCCATACGACGCGAGAAGGCCGACGAGGGAATGGTTTCCTGCGCGTACGACCGATATCCGTAAGTTGGCTGAATGATACAGGAGAGAATAGGGCCGGCGCGGACATACCCGTAACAGCGTTGCGGACGTAGTGCGATGTGATCAACTTCACGCCTATGGCGCGGACCTGCTCGAAGAGCCCGACGACTACTTCCTTTGGGAGGAAGAACCCGTCAAACCCGAAGCCAAGGCGAACGCGCCCATCACCGAATGGCTGTTTCGCCGCGAGGTCCGCGAGCTGCGTCGAGACCCACTCCGGCAAGAGATTGTCGCTCATCTGAAACGGCGCCCAAGACGCGATGCGCGGAGTGGGGCAATAGCAAAAAAATGATCGGATGCCAGAGGAAACAGTCGCAGAGAGCGCTGAGTACGCTAGTATGGCATCCGTGGGTCAGCCAATCGACAATATAGGCATACTGACCGGACACCCACAGTGATCAGCAGAATAATTCATATGCGCATGGTCGACGACTGTGGTGGTCCCGGCGTCAATGGCCTCCATACAGCCACCCAACTGTCCCCATAACACGTCGTCGGTAGTGAACATGGACGCCGTAAAATTTCCTGCAAAATGAGGGTCATATTACTCAGACGATGATTCAGCAGCGCACCTTTCGGCATATAATCAAGGAGAAGATCGTCGGCATGTCTTCCCTTGAGCTGCGTCTGCCAAACGTGGTGGTGCGTATCGATGAATCCAGGAGAAACAATCTTCCCCGTGCAGTCAATGACAGTGGTGTTGGGCGACGGAGCAGCGAGCGCCACACCAATCTGTGCAATCTTGCTCTAGAGGGGCCGCGCAGGCTGAATTTCAACCTAAACTTCAACCTGTATTAGGATACATGGCATGCTCTTTTAGGTTGATTTTCACCGACCTTAGGCTGAAAAGTAGACAACAGTAGGTTACTACGTTTAGGTTGATTGGTATTCTATTTACCGTCTGTTTCAACCTATGTTCCTATGAGCCATTCCGGTGAATACCATCCTAAGGTAGGATACTCTCAGCAACCTATTGCTATCCTACAGAGAGTTGATTCTAACGAGTGCTCATAGGTTACTTATCAGCTTTTGTCTGGATGGATTTCCGCGTCAGATAGGTTGTATTTTCTTGCTAAATATGGATCGAAATTCGGCTATGAGGGGCCTCATACATGCATATTACCGCAGAAAAGCGAACACATAGATAATGCAAAGGGAGGATAAGTGCACTAAGGAAGAGCAGCCGCGAGGAATGAGCCTTGAGGCAGCCTTATGTGTCGGCGTCAGTGAGTTGATCCGATCCATACATAAGCGATGGACCCACCTTAACCAGTAATGCTGTAATCGTCGTCGTCCCCACCACCTCCGGCGCTCGCCATCTCTGCATCGTCCACGCCCTCATCCTCGTCGTCATCCGCCACCGCTCTGGCCTTCCCTTTGGACTTCTTGCTGTTAGACTTCTTGCCGGATCGAGAGGCTGCCTGCTTGGATGCGACCTTCTTTGTAGCTTTCTTGGCGGCAGTCTTGACCTTGGTTAGCTTGTTCTTCCTGCCCCGAGGTGCAGACGGGTCCCTCTGAGCAGCGTTAGCCTTCAAGTATGCGTACTTCTTGGGCACCTCGAGCCAATTCTGTTGGTACGCTCGGTTACGCTTGTTCTTGATGAATTGTTTGACGATCTCCTCGGTTGCCCAGTCGTTGTGAAAACGGGCCAGGTACGGATGCCTATCGCGCGCCTGGATGTGACGAGTCATTGACATGTCCCGATTCAGCACGATCACTTACCACCACAAAAAGCTGGGCCTTAACTGACGCGGGCGTCTTTGCCCATGGATCCTCGTAATTGACACCTGCCCTGATTGCGAGGTCACGGAGGTTGCGCTGGATGCAAGCGGTAAGATTGGGTCAACAGACAATCGTAACGCTAACCTGGATGGCCTTGTAGGCATGCTCGTCGGTCGCATTAGAACCAAGGCCCATTGCATCCTGGATGCTGAATTCTTTCCCAGCAGAACCGGCAGGCCTCGCGATCATCCCAACGGGTACCGGCTTGTCACCGGCGACAGGATTGGCAAGGGCCTGGGCAAGGCGCTTCTTGAGCTGTGCGTTCTCGGCCCTCTCCTTCTCCAATGCTTCTGGAATGCAGAAGTTATGTATAGATGTCATGAGGTACCTCTAGAGACACCACGCACCCGCTGTCATGTTCTGCTGACTTCCCTGATCAGTTCCGGCACCCTCGACACGATCTTCCACTCCTTCATTGGTCTCAGCATTCATACGCGACTTAAAAGCTTCAAGCTCGCGCTTTAGCTTCGCATTGGCTGCTTCCTGAGCAGCGATCTTCTCTGCCTGTTCCGCAAGCTTTCCTACGTGTCGGGTGAGTAATTTTCTAGAGATGTCGTAAAGGTGATTGACCATTCATGGTATCATTCTCCTGCCGCGCGTACACTATGTCCATGGTATTGCACCCTTCGACATTGTACTTCTTCTCCAATTCGTCACTGATAGCCAGCTCATGGCGGGGATCTGTCATCTTGGATACTGGGGCACGGTTTTCCTTGGGTGGCCTCCCAGCCTGGCGAACACTACTCCTGGCGGCTACGGGACGAGGTTTGTTGCTCATTGTGTGACGAAGAATAAGTACTGATGGTGCTGGTGCGTCGGCAGATGGTGGATCGAGTAGGGGCGAATTTTTACTGTTTATTCAAGTTTTGCCTGTGGTCCGAGCGCAGCACCGCCTCAATATATTCTCTGCTATAATCTCTCGGAATTCTGGACTCATGGCTCCTCGGGAAAAAGTACTATGTACCTGCTGTAATGAGATGCTCAGTCGTGAGCGCGAGCGGGCTCACCGTCGGGCCCTGAACAGCCAACCGTACACGTCACCCACTCGATTGCCTCCGTCGCGGCAATGTCGCATCTTTGGGCCGAGCTCCGGGCCTTATTTTGGCGGCGATTTGGAGGAGGGCCCTTCAGGAACTCCTGGGCCTGCAAGCGGAGACAAGGATACAGGTGATCTGGCTGGCTCCATGCATGGTGACATCGACGTGGAGATGCATTTTGAGGGAAATGCGGACGCACAAGTCGAAAGTGATGATGAGGCCATCGACGAGGCAATCGGCGCTGACGGTGCTGGGTTCCATGGTTTGGTTGAGCCGGAGGTCATCACACATAAGCGCTGGCGAGATCGCCCCGACTTTGTTACTCCAGAGTCTGACGATGATGATGATTCCGATGCTGGGTCCGAGAGTGGGGATGAACGTGCTGAGGACAGTGATGCAGAA